TATTATTATACACATATATATGAAAAAAGGGGGGTGGTAATCACTCTCTGGTTCTTACCATGTACACAATTAAAGCTCTATACCTCTTCTCTAATTTAAAAAACCAGCATAAGCTGAGTGTAGTGGCTCACGCCTGTACACCCACAACTTTGGGAGGCCAAGGCAGGCAGATTACTTGAGGCCAGGAGTTCAAGACCAGCTTGACCAACATGGTAAAAACTTCTCTCCACTAAAAATACAAAAATTAGGCAAGCACAGTGACGCATGCTTGAAATTCCAGCTACTCAGGAAGCTGAGGCAGGAGAATCACCTGAACTCAGGAGGCGGAGGCTGCAGTGAGCCAAGATCGCACCACTACACTCCAGCCTGGACAACAGAGTGAGACTCCGTCTCACAAAAATAAATTAATTAAAATAAAAAATCAGGCTGGGTGCAGTGGCTCACACCTGTAATCTCAGCACTTTGGGAGGCCGAGATGGGCAGATCATGAGGTCAGGAGATCAACACCATCCTGGCCATGGTAAAACCCCATATCTCTACTAAAACACAAAAAAATTATCCGGGCATGGTGGCGCATGCCTTTAGTCCCAGCTACTCAGGAGGCTGAGGCAGGGGAATCGCTTGAATCCAAGAGATGGAGGTTGCAGTGAGCAACAATCGTGCTATAGCACTCTAGCCTGGCGAAAGAGTTAATATTTATTTATTAAGACTCCGTCTTAAAAAATAAATAAATAAATACTAGCATTGGTAAGGCTATGGAGTTGGCAAGTATGTGGAGCAATTGGACCTCTTGTGCATTGCTAATGGGAATGTAACATGGTAAACCATTATGGAAAACCCTCTGATGATTCCTAAAAACTTAAACATGGAATTACCATATGATCCAGGATTCTCCTTCTGGGTATATGCCCCAAAAGAATTAAAAGTGGAAAAAACAAATATTTGTAGCTCCATATTCACAGCAGTACCATTCACAATAGCCCATAAATGGGAGACACCCATAATTGGAAGACACCCAACTGTCATGGGAATAAACAAAGTATCGGCTCTACATACCCTCAAAAATATTATTCAGCCTTTAAAAAGAAGGAAATTCTGACACATATTACAACATGGATGATCCTTGAAGATGTTATGCTAAATGAAGCCAGACACAAAAAAACAATTATTGCATGATTCCATTTATACAAGGAATCCAAAGTAGAATGCACTAAGGCAGAAAGTAGAATATTGGCTGCCGGAGGCAGGAGTCTGGGAAAGTGTGTGTTAGTGTTTAATAAGTACACAGTTTTGGTTTCTAAAAATGGAAAGATTCTGAGATGAATGATGGTAATGACTATTGTACAATAATGTGAATGTACGTTAAGTACACTTACACTGAATTGTACACCTCAAATGGCTGAAATGGGAAATATTATGTAGATTTTGCCATATATATTTTTTTTTAAAAGAGAGAATAGAAATTTGGCCAGTAGGAGCTTGGGTTAGAGTTGAAGAAGGAAAGAGGGCAGCGGAAGGGAAGAACTCCCAGACTTGAAGAGTTTCAAGACAGTAGAAACCAGGAGGGCTGTTCAAAATACAGGATTGGTCCAGGTACAGTGGCTCATGCCTGTAATCCCAGCACTTTGGGAGTCTGAGGCAGTCACATCACTTGAGGTCAGGAGTTCAAGACCAGCCTGGCCAACATGGGAAAACCCCATCTCTACTAAAAATACAAAAATTAGGAGGTATGGTGGTACATGTCTGTAGACCTAGCTACTCGGGAGGCTGAAGCACAACAATCGCTTGAACCCAGAAGGCAGAGGCTGCAATGAGCCGAGGTCGCGCCACTGCACTCCAGCCTGGGTGACAGAGCAAGATGCGGTCTCAAAAAAAATAAAAATAAAAACAAATACAGGACTGAATCATCTAAATTAGTGAGAGGCACCAAGCAAGGCACAGGCAGTGGCGCTGAAGGCCCTGCCCCACACATGAGCTGCCCTTAGTGCTTTAGTTGCTGAATTGTGGAGAGGTCCCAAGAGTCCCAAGGCAGGGGCATGGCAGGAAGGGAGCTTGTGGGGCTCAGGCCACCATTTCTTTGCCAACTGGATATAAGAATGGTGATGTTTTACCTGCCACTGCCTGTCAGCCCTGGTGTACAGCACAGCATACGAGGTAGAACAGAGACAGGCAGTCGGGGAGAGAGCCCTAGAAGCCATGTCAAGAACTGGGTGCTTTGTCCCAACTCTACAAGAGACCCATGGAAGAGCTTTAAGTCAGTGGAGGTATGCGGAATAAGTCAGGGAGTGGGACGGTCATTAAAGAAGACTACTCCATGATGCGCAAAGTGGCTTAGAGCTGATCAAGACTGAAAGCAGAAATACACAACTTGGGGAGAAAGGAAAGAACTCACTGAGGATAGAGAAGCTGCGAATAGCTCAGGGACCCATATGAGAGACAGAAAACAGTGCTCTGTGCAGGACTGGTTTAGGAGCAGAGAAGCAGGAGAAGGCTAGGAGGAAGCCCAAGAGCGGTCCAGGAAACCTGGGTAAAGGGCAGAGCCATTTACTAAGCAAGAAACACAGGAACACATATGGATGAAGATCAGAATTCAGTCTTGGAGGCCAATGAGCCCATGCTTTACAACCAAATAGACATTCAAGAGACAAGAGTTCAAGGAAGGGATCTGGGCTGCAAGTCTGACTAAGAATAAAAGGCACATACATAGCAACTTCACCAACGAATCCAAACAATATGCGTAGAAACAAGAGCCAACAATGAATCCAAGCATGAATAATACTTGAGGGTACAGAAGTGATATGCCAAGAAGGATCAGAAAAGAAGAAGAAAGCGTGCCAGGAGGCTATGGCATCGCAGAAAGCAGGGGAAGGCAGTGTTTCAAAGTCAGAAGATCCTCAGCGCCCAAGGCTGCTGAACAGACAGGGAAGATTACAACTTAAATTTTACAGGCAGCTCAGCAACAGTAACTGTGTCTCTGGTGTATTCTGAACAGCACCAATCACCTTGTAATTTTTTTTGAGACTCAGTCTCGTTCTGTCGCCCAGGCTGGAGTGCATTGGCACGATCTCAACTCACCGCAACCTCTGTCTCCTGGGTTCAAGCAATTCTAAATGTGAGCCACCGTGCTCTCATTATCTTATTGGTAGGTAATAATTGTACATATTTATGTGGTATGTGTGATATTTTGATACATGCACAGAATGCATAATGACTACAACAGATCTTTGCCTCTTTTTCTCTTTCTTTGGGCAGTCTGAGTCTTTCAGACTATTCTTTGATTCATTTCTGAAAATGAGTAACTGGTAAAATAAACAAGAATCAAAGATCTAGGAGCCTCTCTGAGCCTACTCTAGCCCCAGGAGACTGCCCAAAGAGAGAGAGAAAAAAAAAACAAAGATCTGTTGAAGTCATTACACATTCTATGCATGTATCAAAATATCACATGTACCAAGGCCGGGCACAATGGCTCACACCTGTAATCCCAGCACTTTGGGAGGCCAAGGTGGGCGGATCACAATGTCAGGAGTTCAAGACCAGCCTGGTCAACGTGGCAAAACCCCATCTCTACTAAAACTACAAAAATTAGCCAGGCATGGTGGCACACACCTGTAATCCCAGCTACTCAAGAGGCTGAGGAAGAGTATTGCTTGAACCCAGGAGGCAGAGGGTGCAGTAAGCCGAGACTGCACCACTGCACTCCAGCCTGGCAAGAAAGCAAGACTCCATCTCAATAAGAGAAAAAAAAAGATCTGCTGGACCCAGGCACGGTGGCTGACATCTGTAATCCCAGCTAGTTGGCAGGCTGAGATGAAGGATCACTCAAGTCCAGGAGTTTAAGATCAGCCTGGCCATCAGAATGAGATCCCTATCTCTAAAAAAGTTTAAAAACCAGCCAGTCATGGTGGTGCAAGCCTGCAGTCCCAGCTACTTCAGAGGCTCAGCAAGGGGATCACTTGAGCCTAGGAGTTCCAGGCTTCAGTGAGCCATGATCACACCACTACACTCCAGCATGGGCAACGAAGCAAGTCCCCAGCTCTAAATAGATATAAATAAATAAATAAATAAATAAATAAATAAATAGAGCTGTTGAAGGGCTGAGAAAAAAGAAAGCATAATACAGCAACAGGAGGAAGAGGGAAAGACTAAAAATTCTGTGAGCACAGAATTTCCACCACTGCCACTAAATGCAACAAGGTCCAACTTTTGGCTGTGAAAGGGGAACCAGCTGAAGACAGCACATTTTACTCAGCAATGACACTGATATATCAAAGTGATAAGAAAGATTCCAGGATTCCCAGCAGCAGCCACAGGCAGGGCTCGAACTGAAAGCTCAGGGGAGGAGGAAACCACAGGACATTTGTTACATGACATGATCCACTTCAAGGTTCAGCTCCAAAGTAGAACACCATGAACAGTTTCCTCATCTGTACAGTGGTGATAATAAAGGTCCCTACTACTCACAGAGCTATCGAAGGACTGAACGAGTTAATTTATATCAAAGTGCAAGGCTTGCACTAAGCACTAAGTGTTAATAGTTATTATTTAGCATGTGCCTGTCATTCACATGGAAATGTTTTTCCAACATTAAATTGGATGATAACACAATCTCTGGGGTTTCTGTTGCTGGTGTTTAAGACATTTAATTATGAAATGCCATGCTATCCTCAGGCATCAAATTAAAACAGATTATTAATTTCCCAGCAACTGGCACGCCACACTGGTGAAATAAACCAGTGTGCTGCAGATCCCTGAACCCAGAGGAGACTGTACCATGTGGCTCTGAGAATTCTGCACAAAAGATGACTTCATTTAAATTCAGATGCCAGACAACACCATAACGTTTTGACTACAATTAAGACATAGATTTCTGTGTGCACACATACCACCACCAAGTCCCACACAATGACTTCCCCGCCCACTATTAAAAAATAAACAAAAAAGAAAAAGAGAGAGCAGAAGGAACACAAGCTCCTCCAAGCTATGGCCAGGCAGAGCAGTACCTGTTTCGGTTTTGCTGGCAAAGCCCGCTGCCTGCTTGATCGCTGCTGCTGTGAGTGCCAATCCTCGACTCCTCTTCAAGCCATGCTGTAGGACGGCTTCAAACTGGGCACACAGACAGGTGACCCTGGGAGAGAACCAATGACTCATCAGTCCCCCCCCGAAAAGGGAGTACCAACTAGGGCAGCCCCAGCATCTCCAGGGAGTGAGTAAGCTGCCAGGTGTAAAATTCCGTGTGAAGGCAAACAGGAGACACCTGGATCTGCAGGCTGGGTAACTAACCTGCGACACTCCACACACCTCCCGTGTTGATGTTCATTTCACAGAGCTCAGGATGTCCAGCATAGTCTACCCATATACATCAGACTGGCACAGTAACAATTCACAGGGAACAAGGGAATAGGGACTGGTGCCAGCTGTCAGGGGTGCAGTGGGGGGTGGGGGGGGAGGACAACAAGTTAAAAACCAATCAGTTCCATGTGGGGAGCAGTTGGATGTTAATTGCATCCAATTCACAAGTTTTAACTCTAATTCATATCACATGTAGTTCAAAACAAGATTATGTTTTTGGAGACTGAATTTACCAGGCTGCCAAATTGGAAACAGTGTGTGATTTCATGGCCTGTTATATGCTCTAAAATATATATATATATTTTTTTTTTCTGATTCTCGTTCTTGATTCTGTTATAAGAGATTACATGCTCTAAAAATAACAATCATATGAATTCTGACTCTTGTTTTTTATTCTGTTATAAGAGATTACATTGTGAACTCAGATTGTCAGTTAATGGAATTTTCAATTAAGTTACAATTACTGTGCATTTAATTGAAATTGTTTCTCAATAACCAAAGAAATAAGAGATTCAGGAACAAAGAGATGAGGTCACAGCAATTACACTTGATTCTTAGCAATCTTCTCAGGGCTCCCAAGTCTCTGCCTGATTCAGTCTGTGGACACTACTGAGCCCCTTCCACTCACTCATGCAACAAACGTGCAGAAATTCTGAACATCTCCCACATGCCACACACTGCTCTAGGCTCTGAGGAGATGAAGGTGGGAGTGAGACAGGCAAGGTTTCTGCCTCACTCATGTGCATGGTTCTAGCAAAGGGAGGTACACAAATAAGTTAACCAGACCATTTCAGTTAATCAAAACTTAGAAGTAAAAAAGACAGGATGGCCGGGCGCGGTGGCTCAAGCCTGTAATCCCAGCACTTTGGGAAGCCGAGGCGGGTGGATCACGAGGTCAAGAGATCGAGACCATCCTGGTCAACATGGTGGAACCCCGTCTCTACTAAAAATACAAAAAATTAGCTGGGCATGGTGGCGCGTGCCTGTAATCCCAGCTACTCAGGAGGCTGAGGCAGGAGAATTGCTTGAATCCAGGAGGCGGAGGTTGCAGTGAGCCGAGATCATGCCATTGCACTCCAGCCTGGGTAACAAGAGCAAAACTCCGTCTCAAAAAAAAAAAAAAAAAAAAAAAAAAAAAAGACAGGATGAGGTGGGTGGTGGGAGGTGGGAGGTGGCAGGTGGTGATGGGGCAGGGACAGGCTTAGATTCTGTGGGCTGAATGGAGGTGGCCTTGGAGTTATAAGCTGGACATGACAAGGGCAGGAAGCTGGACAGACAGGCCCAGTGCAAAGGCCCTGAGGCCACCGCCAACCGGCTCAGCCTCGCCCGGCCTTGGGCATTTGCTGCTCCACCCATCCTGACACCCGTGTTAACAATACTCTACATGTTTATCACTCTGTGGGTAGTAAAATATTTTCACATCCATTATTTTACTCCTCTCATCAACACTATGATATAGATGAGACAAGTATTATTATCTCTATTTTACACTTGAAGAAGCTGCAGCTAAGGACACTTAAATGACCTCCTGAAAACTGCACAATAAGCAGCGACATCTGTACCTAAACCCCATCCTCACAAGTTGATCCAATGTACTTTCCTCCATCCCCAATATCACCAAAACAAACATCCTTTATTCTCAGATAAATGTCCTTACTCAATCTTTACTTGTCATCTGTCTATACCAGACAACCCTAACACAGCATCAGCCAATCAACAGCATTCCTACCTTTTCACTGTATTCTATGCCCATGACAGACATCACTAATCCATCCCAGCATTGTAGGCCACCACTGGCAAATGACCACAGCTGGCCCTCCACAGAAAGAAGCGTATTAGCCATCACAAATCGAATACTTCCCCTTAACAACACTGCTTGGTTTTCACCTTCTATATTATCTTTCCCGGATCCCTGACACCTAGCTCAGTACCTGGTACATAGTGTGTGCCCCACAAATGTTTTTCCAGTGGGTAGGTAAATGAATGATTAACCTTGAACCAGAGATCCCACAATACTCCCCTACATTGAAACAAGCCTCTTTTCTGGGCAGATACCACTCTTAATTATTATAGATGTGTATATGCTAGTCTCTGTACACACAGGCATGTATTTTAAGACTTCCTGAAAGCTGGGACATCACCAAAACTCTGTAAATACCACAGAAACCAAAACCATGGCACACAGGAACACTGACCCAGATCAGCTGTCTGTCTCAGAGAGACAAAGGAAAAAAAACAAAAACAAAAACCTGGAGTGTGTTGAGAGTTCTCTGTAATTAACCAAAGCCTCTATCTTTAAAATAATCTTTTGCAAATACAGCAATCAACTCAACAATCACTATCAGTTTGCTTGGTTCCAATGCACAAGTCAGTAACTGCCCAGCCAGCTCTAGATAAAACCAGGGCCCTAAGAGGAATGGAATGCAGGTGAACTGCACAAATCCAGTCCCCAAGGTTTGGGTTATATCATCAGTACTGTGTTACAGAGGCACACAGGTCACAATTAACCTAATATGCACGAATATCCAGGTGGATGCTAGTCCTATAATTAGATCATTATGATGCCTTCCTTGCCAAAGACCATTCTACTTAACATCTCCCCATGTCCCCTTTCCACCTCCCCTTTGGATCTGAGCACTATCTACTGGTCATTCAAGACTCAGCTCTTGGCCAGGCGCAGTGGCTCACACTTGTAATCCCAGCACTGTGGAAGGCCAGGCAGATGGATCACCTGGGGTCAGGAGTCCAGATCAGCCTGGCCAACATGGTGAAATCCAGTCTCTACTAAAAGAAAAAAAAAAAAAAAAAAAAAAAAAAAAATATATATATATATATATATATATATATATATATATATATATATACACACACACACACACACAAAAATTAGCTAGGTGTGGTGACAAATGCCTGTAATCCCAGCTACTCGGGAGGCTGAGGCAGGAGAATCGCTTGAATTAAGGAGGCAGAGGCTGCTGAGCTGAGATTGTACCATTGCACTCCAGCCTGGGCAACAAGAGCAAAACACAGTCTCAAAAGAAAAAAAAAGACTTAGCTCTCGTATTCCCTCCTCCAGTAAGCCTTTCTGAATGTTTCCTCATTCTGAGCTTCCTCTTAATACAGTGCTCGCCACTCTGTTAACAACAGTCGGATTTCCAGGGCTGCCTGCTCCTGCTAACTGTGAGCTCCCATGCACTTAGCGCCATGCCTGGTTGCCATAGAGAATGTGACCAACATGATCTCTCTAGTCAGGGAACTCAAGATTATAAACCTGATGTACATTTTGGTGGGAGATGCATCTCAGGAGATTTCATATAATTTGTCATTTGAATCCAGGTCAGTTAAAACTACTGAATCAAATAGAACATACTTGTCCAAGCACAGGAATCTACTCTTTAGCTTCTGGTGGACACATTACAGAAGCACCAACTTATGACTATGACATACAGCATGTCACACTAAAGCTTTCCACTGCTTCCCATCTTATATGGGAAGCAATAGATGATAATTCCCAAAAAATGAAAGGGGCACTAGCTTTAGTACAGTCCTTTATTTTCTTTTTTCTTTCCCTTTTTTTTTTTCTGAGACAGGGTCTTGCTCTATTGCCCAGGCTGGAGTGTGGTGGTGTAATCATGGCTCACTGCAGCCTCAACCTCCCAGGCTCAAACGATCCTCCCACCTCAGCCTACCAAGTGAGTGAGACTATGGTCATGCACTACCATATGCAGCTAATTTTTTTTATTTTTTGTAGAGATAGGGTCTCACTTGACAGGGCTAGGGTTTCCTTATTTTCTGGGCCTAGTCTCTGCAATTTCTCAGAATGCTCTCTGCTATAAACACCCTGGCTTCACTATGGAGGTCAGCTGCCTCCTTGCCATTTGATCATATCACACTTCCATTCCAACTTAATGAACTAGGAATATCATTTTAAAGAAGTGGGTCACTTAACAACAGGATTATTTTAATTTTTTAAAAAGCACCAGTGAGGTGGGGTACAGTAGCTCACACTTATAATCCCAGCACTTTGGGAGGCCAAGGTGGGTGGATCACTTGAGGCCAGGCGTTCAAGACCAGCCTGCCAACATGGTGAAATCTCATCTCTACTTAAGACACAAAAACTAGTTGGATGTGATGGCAGTCACCTGTAATTCCAGCCACTCAGGAGGCTGATGCAGGAGAATTCCTTGAACCCTGGGGGCATAGGTTACAATGAGCCAAAATCACACTACTGTACTCCAGCTTGGGCAACAGAGCAAGACTGTCTCAAAAACAAAAAAAGAAGTACCAGTCACGCCGGCCACGATGGTTCACGCCTGTAATCTCAACACTTTGGGAAGCCAAGGCAGGCAGATTGCTTTGAATGCAGGGTTCAAGACCAGCCTGGGCAACATGGCAAACATGAGATTTTGTACTAAAACTACAAAAACTAGCCGGATGTGGTGGCACGTGCCTATAGTCTCAGCTACTTGAGAGGCTGAAGTGAGAAGATGGCCTGGGAGACAGAGACTGAAGTAAGCCTAGATTGTGCCACTACAATCCAGCCTGGGTCACAGAGCCAGGCCCTAACTCAAGGGGAAAAAAAATTTGCAGCAGCAGCAGCAGCAGTCAACAAAACCACTCCAAATTTTTAGGTATACAGCTGTTTCCCAGATGAATGGATAAATAAAAAGTTGTCTATCTGGGATGGAGATAGCAAACCACCACAGCATGTGTGTACCTATGCAACAATCCTGCAAGATCTGCACATGCACCCCAGAACTTAAAGTACACTTAGGC